TATCTCTGACTCCAGTATCTGCAGTCCTTACTATCTCTTGGTACAAGGTCTGTCTTTTTCATACTTATTACAAGTGTAAGGCTTTCTGAGGTTTAAGCAACAAGCGGTTGGATGTTGTCCGTGAGTATGTGTGTCAATCGCACTGTTATCAGAAAACAAGGGCTCACTTAATAGCTGATGTAATGGTGAGCATCAGCATTTTGGACTGGAGGAAGATACACAGGAAGGTCCTCTAGGAGTCACTGTTAAGACAGTGCTTGTCCTAACTTGTGTTAAAGACTGAGACTTTGATGCGTAGAGCACAATTTCCAACACTGCAGGTGGCAAACTTAGAAGTATATTGAACTGCGCATAGGAGAGCATTGGACATGGAGGATTAGCGGAATAGAAAGATACGTGGCAGACAAAACTTAATACAGAGAAGTGTGAAGAGGTTTTTTTTAAAGAAAATTCTAAAATGGGTACAGGAACAAAGAGGCCTAGGGATCGGTGTATACAAATCATAGAAGGCAAAAGGGAAGATTGAGAAAGTGGTTAATAAATAAGTCATATGCGCTGTGTTTAAGAGACAGAACAAAAAAGGAAGGTATGGCAAATCTTTATAAAGTACTGACTCTGTCTTAAATGGAATATTGTCCAACTCTGAGCATTATATTTTAGGAAGATGTAGAAAATCAGACAGGGTGTAGTAAAGATTTATGAGAATGTTTCCAGAAGAAAGTTCCGAGGAAGGGTCACTCAACCCGAAATGTTAACTCGATTTCTCTCCAAGGATACTGCCAAATCTGCTGAGCTTTTTCTAGCAATTTCTGTTCTTGTTTGAGATAGTCAAGTGGGTTAGTGCAGTGGTAATGCCACGGGATTTGTAATTCAGAACCTAAAGTAATGGTTTGGCTGATGGTGCAATTTGAATTCAACTAAAAGCTGGTCCAATGGCAATCATTTGTCAACTGCTGTAAAAATGGCCTTAAACTTTCATCACCAAGTCACGTGGTACCTTATCAAATGCCTTCTGGAAATTCATATTTGCAGAATATCCACCCATTGCCTCTAATTTTATACTACACTATACTCTCTTGAACAATTCACTGGTTTAAAGCCACAGGAATATCAACCGCTAGTCTGTCTTTAATCGATTTTAGTCCCACTGCAAAGCCTCTTCTAAGGATGTTTACCTTGAAGTTACTCTCCTCCCTCTTCTCCACCTACCTGCTCCTTTATCCATCTTCCATCCGCCTCCCCCACTCTCTATTTATTTCAGAATGCCCTTCCCCTCCCCCATTTCTGAAGAAGGGTCCAGACCCGAAACATCAGCTTTCCTGCTTCTCTGATGCTGCTTGACCTGCTGTGTTCATTCAGCTCTACACCTTGTTATCTCAGATTCTCCAGCACCGGCAGTTCCTACTGTCTCTGTCTTTCTAAGTCCTCTTTAATACTTTTGAAATATTTTCTTTCTTATGACCAATCTTAAACATGTGCCTGCTTCAAACCCATGTATCCTGGAGATCCAAACTTTGGCATACATTCTTGCTTCCAGTTGGCACATATTTCACATGCACCTTCGATAGCACATTTAAATGATCCCATTCGGCTGGGGTGACATTATTCCAACAAATTAATTTGTGTACAGTCCACTTTGATTTCAGTAAAATAAGTCAAAATCCAGAGACTTCTATTGTTCAATGGGAGTATACCACATTGAGGTCAGTTTAACCAAAGCTCAGAGTTTACTACCATCAAACACATTTTGGTAAGTAGACTCAAAGTTACCAAAAAGCACTATAACTCAATTTAACTAAAATTTAACTCAAGCAACTCTACAAACATAAATTAACCCAAAAATAACTAATAAACCAAACAGCTACAAGTAAACTCATATATCTATAAATAAAACAAATGGAAAGGAAAGAGAGTTTGAGGTTTTTGCCTTAAATGTGGTATGATGTATGCGTCAGCCAATATCTCCAATAGAGTCCAATGCAACCAATAAATAGTTATTTAGTAGTCCAGAACCTGAACATTTTTGCAAAGCTTTTTTGTCTTGCACTTATCGGGACAATTCATAAAACTATCAATTTAAGGGGAAATACAACATTTATACTGTATGACAAGTGTGTATTGATTTGGGTGGCTAGTGGGCATGCAGCCATGAAGAATGCACCAGTTAATAATGACTGACAATTAACTGTAAGGCTTTATCTAAATCTTAAACCAAACACGTTGAGTCAGATTGGTCAAGGCACTGCACTTGAAAATGAACAAAATAAATGGCTGTCACCTATTTTGTTCAGTTGAAACAGGTGCAGTGTGTGTACATGTTGTGCCTACAAAGATCAGGGCCCACTACGTATGTAGTTTTTACTACACAGAAGTGTACCACTTCAATCCAGCCCAACTACATTGGTTCTCAGCATAGCTCTTTGCACACTCAGAATTACCCAACAAATGTTACCAAACTGCAGAATCATATTTAATATTGAACACTTACCATTATGGGCTAGCTGGCTATGGTCAGTATTTTAATAAAGGCAAAATACTGTGGATGCTGGAGATCTGAAACAAACAGTTCTTAAGAGTCATACCTTCTTTGGAAAGATTTTCAAACATTAACTCTGTTTCCCTCCCCATAGATGCCATGACCAGCTGAATTTCTCCAGCATTGTTTGTGCGACAGTCAGTGCCTTCCTTGCTGGGAAGAGCCAAGAGAATATGTTTATGCTGTTTGATATAATCCACCAGACTTTGGGATGTACGGTTTTACCTGATATAACACCAGCATGGAAGTGCATATTTCACATTACTTACTTGTGTGATAGGCAGAATGCAGTTTTGGATTCATGGCAGCATCCTGTTAGTAACGAACACCATTCAAGTTACTATTAAAGTGTGAAACAATTAGCACCACCTTTTGGTGAGACATTCAAGATATATTAGCCTGGTTGGATAAAGTAGTTAGACATTTTGCAGAATCAAAATTGATGCTCTTTGAGTCATATATCAATTTGCACAAAATACAGTGAGAAATGATCTGATTAGGGTAGCTTTAATTTCAGCATCAAGCTTTTATGGAACCAACAGCTTGGGCCAAAGTTGCCAGTCTTATAATGCATGCATTGGTACAAATCCAACCTTTTTATTGACCAGGTTTACAGTACATAGTAGTATTGAACTGTTCTTAAAATTTGCATATCTAATTTATCCAGATGTTACATGTATAGAAAGGTCAAACCAAAAATCCAATGATGTTCTGTTAAAGTCTAAATTACTTTTCCATCCCCTTTACATACAAGATTAATGGATTTTTTAAAATGCAGTAACTTTCCCTTCAGCCAGCACATTGCAGCAATGCACGAGTTGCAAATGAGATTGTCATTTTGCACTTAACTTTTGAACTTCATGTAATTCACTGCATCAGGTGGAATGTAGCATATAAAACTTTGAAACTCGTTAATAACAAGTTTTGACCTTAGTTACAGCTGATAAGTAATGCAATTAAATTTTCAAAATTTGAGAAAGCTAAGAGGCTTACAAACTCCACAACACTGATTATAGATAGGGCATGTGCAAAGATAATACGTTTATTTAATGGTTAACAGCTGTCAGAATTTCCAAATTGATAATCCAAGTGACAGTGTTGAACAATTCCTTCTACACGGCGCAGAATTCAGACACTGTAAGCAAACATTATAAATTTCAACATGTTCTTAACATCATAAAAGGTTCATGCAATGTAAGAGTCAAATATGCACACATCTGGATGTTTGAACACAATTGTGATCCAACTTCAATAATGATAATGCCGATGCCTGTTTTGTGAAGATAAGGTAAAAATCTGACATTTCTTTTGTAGAGCACATACCTGGGCATGGGCTCCCCACACTACCAATGTCACAGTTTCATTAAAAAAGTCAAATCAAGGCCTTTTTTTGCATTTATAATGTTCAACTCCACTTGATACGTAACAGAGATTGTGGTTGTTAAGCACGTTATGGAAAACTTGTCTTTCAAATCACTTCATTTTTAATTGCTTCAGAACTTTTTGAAAAATGCTGTGCAATGTGGTTACTTTTGAAGATTTGAGAGCAAACTGAGATAAAACAAACAATCATAAGCCTGGTTTGGCCACATCTGGAGTATTGTGTCCAGTTCTGGTCATTATAGGAAAGATGTGGAAGCGTTGGAAAAGGTGCAGAGGAGCTTTACCAGGATGTTACCTGGAATGGAGGGAAGGTCTTACAAGGAAAGGTTGAGAGAGCTAGGGCTTTTCTCTTTAGAATGACGAAGGATGAGAGGTGACTTGATAGAGGTGTACAAAATGATCAGAGGTATAGATAGAGTAGACAGCCAGAGACTTTTTCCTAGGGTAGAGGTAGCTATTATGAGGGGGCATAGTTTTAAAGTGAGAGGAGGTAGATATGGGAGAGACGTCAGAGGTAGGTTCTTTACTCAGAGAGAGTGGTAGGGGCATGGAATGCATTGCCAGGGAGGGTAGTGGAGTCGGCCTCATTAGAGGCATTTAAGCGGCTGTTAGATAGGCATATGGAGGGTAGTATAAGGTAGGGGTGGAGGTTAGATAGACCTTAGGATTAGGGTAAAAGTTCGGCACAACATTGTGGGCCGAACAGCCTGTACTGAGCTGTACTGTTGTGTTCTAAGGCACAACATTTACTTTTAATGATGAGTCATGCCTGAAACTGCATTTGTGTGGCAATGTTTCAAAAACACTTGGCTTCTTAGGCCTACCATTCTAAGACATCTTAAACAACAAGCCCAAAATTATCACATCTGTAACTTTTACTTGCTATGCTGCTGATCTTGACATCACTGGCCATATTGTTTTTTGTTTCTCTTAAAATCTTGCTCACTTCTAAAGTCAGTGCCAATGCTCAAAATTTAAATTTTATTTCCCTATAAAGAGGGGAGGCTTAAATTTACCCAAAATTAAAATCGCAAAAATGAATTAGGGATACAGATTCAGATAGAAAGACTCATTAATGACCCGAATCTGTTTTATAAAATAATTTAGATGCAGATACCTTGATTTCAAGTTAAACAACTACAATGAGACAAGAAGTCATAGGTGCCAACTTTTTTTTTTAGGTAAGTACAGGACTGATGTCAGAAGCAATTCTTCCCAGTGACCAATATCTAGAATGGTCTCCTATGTGACAAAATATAAAACTTTGCAGTGACTTAACAAACAGTTCCATCCACTGTTCCATACACAGTGGAACCCGTTGTGTTAAAAACTGATAAGTTAGGAGGACCCTAGCCTGTATATACATTTTTATGAAATTACTGTTTAGATATAAAAAGTATTTGACAATTAAATATGAGACTTATAAATCAATTACATATTAAAGACACGTATTACGCATATGCAAGTATCATTCCAAATGGAATAAACACTAAATAAGTAATCCCAAATTTCAAGCCTTTTTTTTATTAATCAAATGCAAAACCTGTAGAGGTTACATTCATACAATATTTGTCTAAATATATTTTTAAACAAAACATTTCCAATTTAATTGATTAGCTGGTTTTGGTTTTCCACCAGTTGAAGTTCAAATTACACAGGGTACAAATGTAAAAATAATTTCCTACAAAGTACCATCTAAAAATGGAATTCATACTTTCTTGGTCCATAACGAAAGCCATCTGTAACAAGTTTCATTCAGCATGCCGTTAATGTACATTACAGCCAAACATATTTTCCGTCTCATATTAAGAGTCATTAGGAAGTCCGAAGAGTTTAACTGTTCCAGCTTCCCGACTGCTATCGTACTTGCCATCTTTATCATCACAAGCAAAAGCTAAGAGTGGTCGTTTCGGATGCCATGCTACAGTGAAAGTAGGTGAGTCACACTGCACCTCCCATAGTTTCTCACCTATGGGAAGAAAAATAACAAAATAAGCAACAAAACAAAATGAAATACAGTTTTACTTTTTATAAATGTGACATTACTGGTGGAACAAGTCAAGTAATCCGGAGAAAAATGATTAGCCAATTATCTACTACTGTTATGACCATATACTAAAACAATGGATTTGCAAGAAACCAAATTATAATCTACACACCGAAGGACATTCAAAACTGAATAACCTGTACAGATGAGAATCCTTCAATTGTAGATGGAGTGTACCTTCACACCCTACCCTATGGCTAAATTCATTTCATAAAAGAAAAGTGACTGGTTGAAGTTAAAAACTAAAATTCTTTATAATCATTGTTTTGGATATACAATATGCATTTAATTCCAATTAACAATGATCCAGTAAAAGCAAATGTCATTCATATGGCTAAGATTTATATCATCATCCTAAACAAAGCTAAAAACAAGATGAAATTTGAAATAAATTGCAGAGGTATTTCTGCAAAATCTTTATCCACACAGTACAAGATGTTCTAAAGCCTATTATTTCAATTTTTCCATTTTCAAGATTCTTCCATAAAGAAGTTACTGTTGATAAGTTATAGTATTAAAAAAAAAGTACTAATGATTCATTTACCAAATTTTGCACACTAATCGACCTCCTACTCCCAAAGCCTGAAAGATCATTACAGTCCTTCTGAGAGAAACAAACCAACAAGCTGAAGATTTTCAAACAACATCTCACTAAGGAAAAGCAGAGGCCACTAAGATTGTTGTTTTGTCTTATGATCAGTCAGGAAAGTGCAAGACAAACATAACTGAGATGATAGATGAAACAAAAAGATAAATCCCCTTAGGGAGGTATGAATCGAGAGGAAAGAAAAGTTTCTGATGTGTAAGCTGGCCAGAAAGCTCTCATGACACCATGAATCATAATTTCAACTATATACCTACCAAAAAGGAGGTTGCTTCAGAAACAGTTCAACATGAAAATATATGCCCTTTCACTTTGGCCAGAAATTAAGAGTGAATAGGACCATGAACCAGAGACAGAAAGATACAGGTTAGAAGGCAAAGACAAGAAAGAAAGACTCACAAAAATTAAACAACTTCAGAAAGTACCAGGAAGTTAAATAAAAGTTTACAAACTCCCAATCCCAATCCAACAGTTCTGAAGAAGCAGTTGTTGAAGAGTAAAAGATCCAAGATTAAGAGTTGTTAACAGGAACTTTGAGCTGCAACATCATGGTCATGAATTACTCAAGATAGAACACACAGATGAAGTAATACAAAATAACATACTTGCAAGATTAGTTTTGAGTGCAGACTTTAGCCTTGCTAAAACAAGAATGGAACATAATTTTGCTGCATTGAAATCAATAGCACTACATCAACTCTTCAAGCTGAAAACAAAATCTTGTCTGTTTGCTGTAACTTACTTGAGATATTGTTTCAGAGATTAGGCAATGCATTATCACATCGCCTTTAAACATTTCGTAGCCTGGCTTTAGACTTTCATCCAGGCAAAAGGAATAAAGTAGTTTCTTTGTGTTGGAGGTAAGGATTCCACATAAGATGGGTTTATCATGTCAGCTTAGTTGATAGCGAATAATGATACAAAACAAAATTAAATACACACTAAAATGAGCAACTTCACTCAAAGATCACAAAACAGAAAAATACATATATATGCGAGAGCGGTTATTTCTAATTACAGCAAACTTTGTTCTACCCCTGCTGTATTGTACTTGGTCTAAGTCTTCTTCACATTAACAATCTAAAGTGGGTTATTTCTAAATATTGGCTGCACATCAACTTGGGCGTACCATCCCCATCAGACCATGCGTTACGTTCTCGCACCATCTGACAAAATCAGATCCTCTAGACCATAGACACATGCATGTACACTGCCTGGACAATTAAAACATTTTCTCTCAGGGACTGTATAAGACTTCCAATGAGTTAGACTGACCTATGATCAGCATTTAAATTGGCACAAAAAATATGACAGTGAAGTCTCCTCTATTTGCTGTGCACCCTATAGTACATGTGTCACAAAACCCAAAAGGACTCCTCTTCAAAAATAGAATGTCTCAAACATAATATTTGTTTCTTTGTGCTTAAATATCTGGGAAATGTTAGGTCAAGAGCACAGGAAGTTTTAGTTTGCCAGGCCATTCAGCTCATCATTTGTGCACAAGCTCTCCAAAAGAACAATTTTATTGACATAAACCCAAACTGAAACTAAACAGCAAGCCACTCGCCTGAAAGAAAGATCTAAGTCAGTGAATGGGAATGGAGTGAAGAGAGAGATCACACAGAGAAAAGTTGACCAAACGATACATAAAATCTTTATGTAAGCATGGTTCTGCACAGGAGTACGTGAAGTTAGCCCAACAGTGCAACCAAGATCAGCTGACAGCCATTTTGCCTAAATATTATCTCAACTTGAAACATTCACACTGCTTACTTCCCCGATGCTGCCTGTCCTGTTAAACAAAAAATTATCAAGAATAGGAAGTGTTTCATTCTCTCCACCCCTAAGAATAATACTACTCACCTCAAAGAGGAAACTAAACAAATTTTATGCACACCAACATTTCACTCCAATTCAATGAACTGTATTAGAATTTTACTGATAAAGGTTACCAAAGATATATATCTTGTGAAATGCCAGTAGAACCTGTGCGTGTTGCACAAATATTAATAAAGAGGTTTCCAAAGTCCTGCATTGCATTTAAGTGAAAATACTCAAGTTTACAGAAAGTTAAATGATTTGAGCAAAAGCAGTGACCACTAATCAAGACTGCATTTTCATACCAGTTTCTACTTCTGCAATGTCAATGAAGTGATCCTCTGAAGCAGATGCCAGCATTTTTCCATCATGGCTGAAGCTCAATGTCCTCACGGGCCAGTCAAGTCTGAAGAAAGCAGTCGCAAACAAAAACGTAGACAAAATTTTATTACCTGATAACTGCAAAACTTCAACAGATCCTATTTCTAAACCTTCATCTGTTTCATTGAAACATGAGTAAAACTAATATTTCGGAAAATCTCTGCTTTCACTTTACTTGAAGAACAGTTATTTCATGTTTTTGTACATTTCATCTAATGTGCCCATTTACCATTTCATTGTAGAACTCCGAATTCATATCACTGAAATCATTTTTATAGCCAATTCTAAACTCATGCAACATAAGATTTCAGTTTCATACAAGAATTTGAATTTCCTTTGACTTTATGAATTTTAAATTAACTTACTTAAATAGAATTAGAAATAAAAATTAATTTTAACTTAAATTTCAGCTAGATGCATCCAGAATAATGACTAACAAAATAACTTTAAGCAATCTGCAATAATAATTCTTTGTACAGTGCAAATACAAATGCATAGTGGATTCATGTATATGCAAAGTCAATAATGAACAGTAGTAACGAGAAGTTTTGTCATAGGTAGCCTAGTTCGAAATGTAGTCAACATAACATGTGATCAGAAAATACAGTAATTATTTTTCACACTCAGCATCTTATCAATAGTCAAGAGTCTAAACATGCCAATTCATAACACGCATAGTTCTTTTTGGGCACGCACCTGGAGAAGCATCTTACACAGACGAGCTCATCCACACTCCATAGACTAACCAGAGCATCAGCACTCCCTGTGGCAAAGTATTTGCCTGTTGGATCAAACTTAATACAGATGCAATTTGAAGGATGTGCGTTGATTGACTGAATCGGTTTCAACTCTGGATAACTGGAATGTAAATATAAATTGAAAGAAATACTCAGCAATTGCAACAAAACAAAAAGCACAATTTTATAATTGATGGCTACTGTATAAAGTTCACTATAGTGCTGTACAGCATATCCACTGGGACAATAAACAGTTGTGGATAGCATTTTTATTCAACACAATGGATAAAGTTAAATTTACAAAAAGCCATTATTTGAGTTTATAATACCGAATGTACAACTTTGTAGAAAGATGATGCGTATTTTGCATCTTGTTCTTTTGACCTCAAATTTAACATAAAGGTGACTTTCTCTGACCAACACTGACAAAAAGAACACCCACATTATTTCCTTAATGCCAACCCCCAGCCTGGGCAATTCTCTCACTTTTGGGATTTTTCCCCTTGCCACAGGGTGGAAATTGGTCTGTGAATAACATAAACTACACTGTTTTTGGAACAGCATTTGGTCAGACCACAAAGTAATTGGATGTTCTTTTAGAACCACAATTCCCATGTAGAGAACTGTGCATCACATGTAATTCCAGAAGAAACTGGAATTTCTGGTCTGTATTTATAATGGGGTAAACCAAGTCACCCTGCTAATCTTTTGTACTTTTATAATACCAGAAAAAGTAGCAGTGAAACAAATTTGGAATTTCTTGCATATTTACTCAGCCAGAGAGCAGAAAGTTAGGGAGCAAGGAAGAAATAATTCAAGATTTGCAATTTTTTTTAAAAACTAGTCAAAAATCCAACCAAAGCCAATAAAGGGACTACATTCATGATTCTTAACTTTTTATAATGTCTAAGATAATGTCTACACCATAGACAATATTGAAATGAAGTCTCTCAAGCAAAGGCAAACAGCATTTTTTAAAATTAGCAGAGAATAAATTTTACAATTTCTCAAACTCATTAAAACTAAAAAGATATGCCTGTACATAAGAAATGTTCCATGTCTTGAAATAACTTATTGCTATAATGCTATACAAAGTTAATTATACATTTGTCTTCATTAAACCATCTTTAAGAAATTCAATGAAATTCAAAATATACACTACCTGAGTAAGTTGATGCAGCCATTGCCATTGGTTAGAAAAAACATATCATTATCATTGTTCCAGGAGATCTCATTCACTTCAAACTTAAACTGTTCTTCAGCCTTTGATCGGTGTGATTTTGCATCAATGAAAGTCACCACATCATCTTTATTTCCCACAGCAATCGTTTGGCCATCAGGACTCCAACAGATATTAATGTTCTCACCTAAAAACAGACCAATAATTATTTCTGTTTCAAGACCAAAAATAATGCACCCACTGCATTTTCTCATTATTATAAAAATGTAAACAAGTATGGTAGAATAGTGACAAAGCTACTGGCTTGGTATCCAGGAACCTGTACCAGTGATTCAGATACAAGAGTTCAAACCACACCTACAGTTGGAGATTTTAATTCAATTAAATGATACATATGGACTGCAGCAGTACAAGAAGGCAGTTCACCACCACCTTCTCAAGGGCAACAAGGGACAGGCAATAAATGCTGGCCCGGCCTGTGACACCCATGTCCCACAAGTGAATAAAAGAAATGAAAAGGCTTTTGTCAGTAATGAGAGACACGAGATTACTAGATTGTTAGAAAAATTGGTTCACTAATGTATAGAGAAAGAAACCAGGTATTTACATCCAGTCTGGTACATTTGTGGCTCGAGCACACAGCAATTTGACTGCCTCTACTGCTTTTTGAAATGGACAAGATACTTAATTGCATTGCTACAATTGAACTCTAGTTCAATGTGGTTCTCTACCTTTTCAGTGGCAATTAAGGTTAAGCAATAAATACTGGCATTGCCAAGGACATCAAATCGTGTGAATTATAAATAAGAAATTGAAATATCCCTAATACAAATTTGGTTCAGGTAGTATTTCAAATAATTTGTTACCAAAAATAAAAGGAAAATAAAAACTTGCATTATATAATATTTTCAATATAATTAACTGTCCCAAAAGACTTTACAGGGCTTTTTTCGGACAAAGTTTGATTGATCCACAGCATATGGTTATAAAAGGTAAGCAAAAGTTTGGTCAAAGAGATAGATTTCAGAGAGGATCTGAAAGGAGACAACACAGGTATCGAGATGGAGAAGCAATGGGAAGGAATTCTAAAACACTGAGCCTTGGCAACTGAAGGCATAGCCCTCAACAATGCAGCAATTAAAATAATCAATGTGCGAGAAGCCAGAATTGAAGGAACGCAAAAACCCTGCAAGGTTGTAGGGCTGAAAAGGGAAGAGGTATTTGAAAAGATTTTTTTTAAAAATCAAAGCTTCACTAAACTGTAAGATAACGTAAGTAACCAACCACAGAGGTGATGGGTTAATGCGACTCAGCAAGACAGAAGATTGGATGTGTTCATGTTCACATCGGAAGCAAAATGTGAGGCTGCCCAGGATAATATGAGAATAGTTAAGTCTGGAGGTAGCAAAGGTAAAATGGTGATTTTAGCATGTGAGCTGGAGCGAGGAAGAGGTGGGTGCTGCTAGACAGTGAAAAGCAGGCAGTGTTGGGAAAGTAGGAAAATGGTCAAAAGTTCACATCAAGATTGAAGATAGCACCAAGACTGCCAGCAATCTGGTTCAACTTCAGATAGCTGACAAGAAGGAGGATGGAGTTAACAGTCAGGGAACTGAATTTGTGGCAGGGACCAAAGACAATGTTAGGTCTTCCCAATACTTAATTGAAGGAACACTCTGATGTTGGACAAGCTGTGAAAAATATCAGCCAGTGGAGATCAAGAGAGGTAGTGGTGCAGTAGAACTGGGCATCATCAGTATGTTAGTAAAACCTGATGCTGTATTTTTGGATTATGTTGCCGATGGCAACAAGCAGATGAGAAATTAGTGCAGGTCAAGTATAGATTCCTCAGAGAGCACAGAAGTAATATGGATGCAGGAACAAACACCATTGCTAATGATTCTCTGGTTATAACTGAAGAAAGAAGAATGGAACTAGGCCAGTCCCGTCCAGCTGGACAATGGAGAACTGTCGGAAGAAGGATGATGTGATCAGTCGTGTCAAAGACTGCAAACAAGTTGAGGAGGATGTGTAAGGTGGTTTGCTTTTGTCACAGTCAAAGAATGCCACTTATGACTTTAAGAGCCCTTTGAAACTCTGGGAGAGGTAGAAACCTGTTATGTGTTCAAAAATAGGGAAAGTGAGAACAGATTTTGAAGGTAATGTTATGTTCAAGAAATTTGGAAAGGAAAGATAGATTGGAGTTTAGATGCAAGGTTTGTAAGTACAGAAGAGTGAAGAGTAGATTTTTATGGAGAAGGGTGAATACGGCAGATTTGAAGAGGAGCGAACCACAACATTGGGGCCTGGAACAGAAGTTAAGTGGTTAACAGTTGATGCTAAATATAGTAACGGTGGGCATCCTGAATAAAATGGTTTAAAGAAAACATGAGTGAAAATAGGAGAGAAACAACAGCAATTAGAAGTGGGCAAGAAATTACACCTTGTTAGTGATACCCACATCAAGTGAAAGAATTCTGAAGAAGAAAAAAAACGGAGGTCAAGGCCAGGGAAGGTGAAGTCTGGCTTGCAGAAAGAAGGCAAGCAGCAGAGGCAGTTGATCAGATGTTCTCAACCTTAATAACCTACCTTAGGAAGCTAAAAAAAAACATGTCGGAAAGGTATTTAAGACTGTTTCTAGGAGCATAGAAAAGATTATTGTTATATTACAGTATGATCAAGAATATATTATATTCTAGGATCATAGGATTATCTTGGAAAAGTGAGCAGTTACATAGTCAATGATGCTATATAGGAGTTTCTGATCTTTGCACCCAATAATAAAGGAATGGCTAGAAATGCCCAATACAGAATTGTGCAACTTGGAATGAAATTTAAAAGGTGATGGTGTTTTTGTGATATTCCTGCTCAAGATTTTTGATGGTAGATTTTACTGGGCTAAGGGCATGATAAGTTCAAGAAGAATTTTTGCAGGACATCATGTTGACTGTGCATTATACAGACCCAGTATATGAGTAGTATTAAGAATAGCTATAAAATAATACAATCATTTCTACTGAACTAATTACACATTACCATAACGTACCATACAAACTGAGGTTTTGAAAACAAATACCACATTTAGTCGACACTCGAGTGTAATACTCATCAGCGATACTAATCCCAACTTCCACCTGATTTACATATGATGTTCAAGCAGCTTGACACCATCAGAACTAAACTGCCCAATTGATTGGCAGTACTACTATAAAATTTAACTTCCCTGTACCAAAGTACACCAGCAGTAACATGTACAATCTACACGATAAACTGAAGAAATTCACCAAGACTCCTTAGATAGTACCTTCGAACATTACCATCCAGAAGAACAAGGGCAGCAGATTTATCAGAACACCACCTGTCCAAATTCCTCTCCAAGCCATTCACCATCCTCACTTGGAAATATATTGCCATTCCATCAATGGAGCAAAATCCTGGAACTCCCACCCTAACAGCTTTGCAGGTGTACCTATACTAAAGGAATAGCAGCAGTTCAAGAAGACAGCTAACCATCACCTTCTGGTTGGCAATTAGATATGGGCAATAAATACTAACCCAGCAGGTGAAGCCCACATCTCATGAATTAAAAGAATCCTCTTTGTTCCACCGTATTATCAGCCTATTCTGATGTTGTAGGTCTTCACAACAAATATCTTTCCAATATGGTAGTAAACGGTGCTTTCTTTAAGCTGAGCAACAACTGAAAACGTCCACAGGCCATACACAAATCAATCCCATTTAGTTCCACACATATGCAGTTGGGCAAAATATTTTTTAAAAATCATGCAGTTAAATAAATTGCATGCCCATTCCAGAAAAAAAAAGCACAAGGGTACCTTTGCAGTGATGTGACAACAACGTATACAAGGTTTGGCAATGTGAAATATGAGCCAGTGGATGCGATTATTTAGATTTCCAGAGGCCTTTAGCAAGGCGTCGTGCAGGCTTCTAAATAAGAAGAGCCCATGGTGTTAGGGGTAAAATACTGGCATGGATAGAAGATTGGCTGACTGGGAGAGAATAGGAATAAAGGCATCTTTTTTCAGGATGGCAGCTCTCTGTGGAGTTCAGCAGGGGTCCATGCTGGGATCACAGTTATTCACATTATACATTAATGATCTGGACAAAGGAACCGAGGTCATTGTTGTTAAGTTTGCAGAGGACACAACAATAGGTGGAGTTGAGGAAGCAGGGAGGCTGCAGAAGGACTTGGACAGTAGTAATGGGGAGCAAAGAAATGGCGGTGGAACTGAATACGTACTTTGCATCAGTTTTCATAGGTGGAAGACACCAGCAGCATACCAGAATTTCTAGAGAGAGTCAGGGGCAGAGGAGAGTATAGTGGCCATTATTAAGGAGAAGGTGCTATGGAAGGTCAAAGGTCTGAAGGCAGATAAATCATCTAAACCGGATGGACTGCACCACAAAGTTCTTAAGGAGATAGTAAAGGCAGTCGCGGTGATCTTTCAAGAATCACTGGAGTCAGGAAGGAGGACTGGCTAATGCAACACCCACACCCCCCACCCCGTTTAAGGAGAGAGGGAGGTAGAAGACAGGAAACTATAGGACAATTTCTAAGGTTTTGGAGTAGATTTGTAGCTCGGGTTGTGGGTTTTGAGGTTGGTTGGCTCGCCGAGCTGGTTTGTTGTTCCGCAGATGTTTCGTTACCGTGCTTGGTAACATCCTCAGTGCAGCCTCTGATGAAGCGTCGGTGTGTTTTCCTGCCTGGCTTTTAAACTCTGGGGTCCGTTGCGATGGATTGCCTCACTTCCGGGTTTCCTCCGTAGTGGAATGTATATGGGGTCGAATTCAATGTGTTTATTAATAGCCTGCTTCATGGAGTGCCATGCTTCCAGGAATTCTCGTGCTTGTCTCTGCCTAGCCTGTCCCAGGATCTTGGTGTTGTCCCAGTCAAAGTCACGGTTCTCCTTGCCCACGTGGATTGAGAGGGAGTGAGTATTGGTCGTGTCTTTTTGTAGCCAGTTGGTGTTCATGTATTCTTGTTGTTAGTTTCCTTCCTGTTTGTCCGATGTAGTGTTTCTCGCAGTCTCTGCGGGGAATCTTGTAGATGACATTGGTCCTGTCCATGGCGGAGAGTGGGTCTTTAGTTCGGGTGAGCACTTGTCGTAGGGTTGATGCGGATTTGTGTGCCACTCTGATGCCCAGTGGTCGTAGAAGTCTTGTGGTGAGTTCTGACGTGTTCCTGATGTAGGGTAGTGTGATGAGTGTGTCAGGGCGTGTAGAATCTTTCTGATGCTGTTCCTGTAGGCATCTCAAGATCTCCTGCAGAGACTGCGAGAAACACTACATCGGACAAACAGGAAGGAAACTAACAACAAGAGTACATGAACTCCAACTGGCTACAAAAAGACACGACCAATACTCACTCATCTCAATCCACATGGACAAGGAGAACCACGACTTCAACTGGCACAACACCAAAATCCTGGGACAGGCTAGGCAGAGACAAGCACGAGAATTCCTGGAAGCATAGCACTCCACGAAGCAGGCTATTAATAAACACATTGAACTCGACCCCATATACATTCCACTACAGAGGAAACCTGGAAGTGAGGCAATCCATCGCAACGGACCCCAGAGTTTAAAAGCCAGCCAGGAAAACACACCGACGCTTCATCAGAGGCTGCACTGAGGATGTTACCAAGCACGGTAACGAAACATCTGCGGAACAACAAACCAGCTCGGTGAGCCAACAAACCTCAATACAGGCCAATTAGCCAGACCTTGGTCATTGGTAAGATTTGAAAGTCCATTATTAAGGATGAGATTGCAGAGAATTGGAAGTGCATGGTACAAAGAGACTGGGTCAGCTTGTCTTCATCAAGAGGAGGTCATGCCTGACAAATCTGTTAGAAGTTTTGAGGAGGTAATGAACAAGTTAGACAAAGAACAGCCAAGGAACATGACCCATTTGGATTTCCAAAAGGCCTTCGATGTTATGCTAAATAAAATAAGGCCCCATTGTGTTATGACCAAGGTACTGGCATAGATACAGGATTAGCTGACTAGCAGCAGGCAGAGAGGGGGGATAAAGTGGCCTTTTTCAGGATAGCAGCCAATGACTAGTGGAATTCCACTGGGGTCATTGTGGGGAGCATGACTATTCACATTATACGTTATCAATCTGAACAAAGGGACTGAGGACATTGCTGCTAAATTTGCAGATGACACAAAGACAGGTGGAGGAAACGGTGGTGCTGAGGAAGCAGGAAGGTTGCAGCGTACTTGGACATACCAGGCAAGTGGGCAAAGAAGTGACAGAATACAATGGGGGAAAGTATGAGTTTCTGCACTTTGACAGGAAAAAGAGACATTTCCTAACTGGGAAAAGGCTTCAGAAATCTGAAACTCCGAGGGACTTGGGAGTCCTAGCCAGGATTCTCAAGGTTGATATGCTGACTCAATTGGCAGTTAGGAAAACATATGCAATGTTAGCATTCATTTCAACAGGGCTAGAATACAAAAGCAGAGATGTACTGCTAAGGCTGTACAAGGCTCTGGTCAGACTGTATTTGGAATATTGTGAGCAGTTTTGCGCCCCACCTCTAAAGGAGGGTGTGCTGGCCTTGTCCAGAGGAGGTTCACAAGAATGATCCTGGGGGTGAGGACTCTGGGTCTGTACTTAGTGGATGAGGGGGGAATCTGCTTGAAATCTATACAATACTGACAGACCTGGATAGAGTGAACATAGAGATGTTTCTACTAGTAGGAGAGAATAGGACCCAAGACCACAGTTTCAGAGTGAAGAAATGACTCTTTAAAACCGAGATGACAAGGAATTTCTTCAGAGAGGTGTTAATCTGTGGAACTCGGTTGCTGTAGAGGGCTGTGGAGGCCAAGTCATTAAGTGTGCTTAAGTCGGAAAAAGATAGGTTCTTGAATAGTAAGGGAATCAAGGGTTACAGGGAGAAGACAGGAGAATGCAGTTGAGAAACATATCAGCCATGATTGAATGGCAGAGTAGACTTGATGGGCCGAATGGTCTAATTTTGCTCCTATATCTTACAGTCTTGAAATAATATACTAAGAAATGATAGTATATTTGTAGAGAACGATGATATGCAAACTTTGGTGACAAAAATCCTGAATATAGAGCATTTCAACTAGTTAAATTGGAAACAGCATTTTCATAGTGTAGTCAGTCTAGTCATTCCTAACCCTTCATTATATGAACAAAATTTCTATACATTAAAGTAAAGTAATATATTACAGTATCCAGGAAATTCCTAAATAACATACCTTTCGTGTTCACAGTAGCAACGCATTTTGCAGTTCGGACATCCCAGATTCTAACCGTTTTGTCACCAGAAGCAGTTACAAAGAGATCTGCATTGGTTGGGTGCCAACAGAGTTGATCCACACTGTCACCATGACCACGATAATTATTCTCCTTAACCTGAAATATGCAAAAATAACATATAAAGATAAGTGAACTGAATGAGAATTAAAAATATTATAGCTGTATGGTCCGCTTTCTGTAAAGAAAGGTGGACTATATTTGTTGGTGAGTGAGTAACTTTCCTGGAAATGAATGTCACATTGATTATTTCCCTGTGATGATGGAAAGTACAGTTGAAAATTTGTTCAAAGCATAGAAAACCATTTCTCACTCAGCACATCATCAAAATAACTATGTAGTCATGGCTAGTAATGAACACGATTTCATATCATGCCTCCATGTGAGAAAACATCTAAACAAAAATGCACACATTATCTTGTTTCAAATAACTGGTAGACCTGCAAAAAATTTACAGTTCATTAGTGATTTCAGAAGGGTATGAATTGGCTGACCTCATTCTTCACAAAAATTAAGATTAAAAGAAAAAAGTGAAAGTGTGTACCCAAAGTCTGCAGGAGTTCAGTCTCTGCTGATCAATTTCAATTATGTGAGGTTCCCAAAATCAGAATCCCTAGAGTCTGGAAAGAGACCAATCAGCCCATCAAATGTGCACCACCCTCTGGAGGGCATCCCACCTTATCTATGTAACTATGAATTGACTACAGCTAACCCACTTAGCCTGCACATCTTTGGACTATGGGACGAAACCAAAGCACCTGGCAGAACCCCACACAGACAGGTGGAGAAGTGCAAACTCCACACAGTCACCCAAGGCTGGCACCAAAACTGGTCTACTGGCACTGAGGCGGATGTGCTACCATGGAGCCAGCCCTACATCCATGTCAGGTGGAATGGCCATGCTAAATTACCCCGTAGGATCCAGGGATGTGTAGGCCGGGTGGGTTAGTCATGGTAAATGTGGGATTACGGGGAACGGATTGGGGTCTAGGTGGGATGTTCTTCAGAGGGCAAAATGGCCTTTTCCCGCACTGTAGGGATTCTAGGAGTTAAAGTTACTAACTAGTCACGACAGGGAGGGATACAGAAGTTGTTGGAAAAGCTCAGCAGGTCTGGCAGCATCTGAGGAAGGGTCACCGGACCCGAAAGGATTTTTTTTCTTCTTCACAGATGTTGCCAGACCTGCTGAGCTTTTCTGTTTTATTTCTGATTTACAACATCCGCAGCTCTTTTGGTTTTTCTGACGGGGGTGGGGGGGAAAAGAGAGACAGAATACCGAACGAGCACGGGTGTGTGTGTGTGTCGGGGGTGGGGGGGGGGGGGGAAGCACTTTGGGGGGCTTGTATTGGGGGTGCTTTATCAGGTGCTGGATGTTGCAGTGACAGAGGCCGGGCAGGGTGTGTGTGTGCGTGTGTGTGTATATGCGTATGCGTGTGCGTGTGTGTGTGTGTATGCGTGTGCGTGTGTGTGTGCGTATGCGTGTGCGTGTGCGTATGCGTGCGCGTGTGCCTGTATATGCGTGTGCGTGTGTACGCATGTGCGTGTGTACGCGTGCGCGTGTGTACGCGTGCGCGTGTGTACGCGTGCGCGTGTGTACGCGTGCGCGTGTGTACGCGTGCGCGTGTGTACGTGTGTGTACGCGCGTGTGTACGTGTGTGTATGCGCGTGTGTGTACATGTGTGTGTATGCGCGTGTGTACATGTGTGTGTATGCGCGTGTGTGTATGCGCGTGTGTGTATGCGCGTGTGTGTATGCGCGTGTGTGTATGCGCGTGTGTGTATGCGCGTGTGTGTATGCGCGTGTGTGTGTGTGTGTGTGTATATATGCGTGTGTGTGTGTTGGTGGGGATG